GTTTCTCTTAGTGGTGCAGCAAAAGCAGCTGCTTTTTCTCGGTCTCTTTGTTTTCTCTCCTTGGCCTCCTCCTCATCATGGCTATAGAATACTGAGGAGGCAATTCTTACTAACATCTCAAGTGAGCTGTCTGGGGTGAAAGCCATTCTTTGTAGCTGTTTCTCTCCAGCTTCCCATTGCTTTGGGACCAGTGGGGCCTATCTTTGGGGGTGTGGCTTTGAAGGGGATTGGTGAGCCCCAGCTTCTGCCCCATCTCTGCTTCCTGGCCGGGAGGCAAACGGTTTTGCTGTGCCACATACAAGGTCCTAGCACATGCTACTTCACCATAGCCCCAGAGCAGCAGGCTCAACTTGTTCAACTTTGGACTGGGACTCCAGAACTGTAAGCCAAAATTTAACCTCTTTTCTCTGTGTATCCGACCCCTCCATCCCTAACCCCCATGCTGAGGACTGAATTCAGGGCATCTGCCTGCTAAATACATATTCTGCCATGAACTATACCCTCAGCCTCAACCTTTTCTCTTCGTAAGTTAACTATCTCAGGTATTGTCTTACAATGGCAGAAGACTGGCTAGTACAGCTGGATATTTTCGAACATCCCTCTGCTATCCCAAAATGAGCAAGATAAATAATATACCCTGCTTTCATATCCACTTTGAAAAAATTAATGTGATGATGTCATAACAGTTAAACTGGAAAGAAAAGTAACTTTAATAATACACATTTCAGTGTGAATACTCAGGCATAATGAAGTTTTCAGTACTGAACCTACTTACGTTGCTGTGTTTGAATTTAACCAGGGAAAACGCACTATTCCCTTGAGCACTGCTGACACTCTTTTCCTGACTTTAGCATTTTGAAATAAAGACTAAGAAAATATATTCCGATAGGTAAGTAGATGGGTGAATGGGTAGATGGGCAGACAGACAGACAGACACGCAGACTCATGAGGACAGAAGTGCGAGCACTCCCAGTGGCCACAGGCACTCTTCATTGGCTGGATAAGGGCCACCGGGGTTGTCACCGTGATCTGGTTCTGAGACGCTGAGCAACTCTTGGGAAGTCCAGAGAAAACAATGTGCCACCTTTCACAACTCACACAGTCTTGCATTCTTGGCAAATTCTCTGTATTTTAAGACCATGCAAAAAAAATTCCGTTTCTACATAAAGCAGAGCTAGCCTTTCACAGTGAGAACAAGCCTTTCACCGCACGGATGTCCACGGGACACGCACAGGAAAGTCACGTGGGGCACAGGACCCGTCCAGAGCTTGGGACCCCGGAGCCTCGTCCTCCCGGGCAATGAGACAAATCCTCTCTCCTCAACCCCGCAGGACATCTCTGGGGAGACACTGATGTCATGGAGCCTCCCTGCTCCACATTCCTCCCCTCTTCTTGGCCCAAGCCTGGCCACGGCAATCCCGCTCCAGTGCTCGCCCCTGTGGGCTGGGACTCAGGCTGCCAGGTCAGCCAGCGGGACCTTGTCCAGGCCCTGGGGAGGGTGGATCCAGGGTCTCTGTCTGTCGGTGCCTAGTTTGTCTGTAACTGTCCCAGCTCTTTTTCCAAGGAGCTTCTGGGTCCACATAGCCTGGCAGTGGAGGGTTCTATTTAATCCTGGGCGAAGGGTCCCTCATCAAGCCCTGCACCTCTCTGAAACTCAGCCTGCCCCTCGTTTAAGTGCAATTCACCACCACTCATAGGATGAGAACCAGGGTTAACACAGGCCTCTCTCGTCATCGTGGGCACTGACCAAAGACAGCCTCCCATTCTGTGCCCTCGGGATCCCCTTGTTCCTTTTTTCTTCTCCAATACTCTTTTCTTTTTTGCCCAAAATTTCAAATAAATGTGTGAATTTCAGCAGTGTTTGAACATCTGATCCGCACTCTCTACATGGCAGTACGTGGGTACTGAAACTAGTTAGGATTAAATAAAACCAAAAATTCCGTTCCTTGGTCATACCAGCCACACTCCAGGTGCTCAGTGGTCACACGCGGCTAGGTGGCTCACAGCCACGGAACTGGAAGGTACAGACAGGAAGCATAGCCATCATCCCAGAGAGCTGGGTCAGCTATGTCCAATAGCGGACAAAAGCTTAGGTTGGGAGTTAAATGACCAGTTCACAGTCACTCGGCCCAGGGTCATGATTCTCATGTGTACATCACCAGTGTAATTCACTATCACATCTGTGCAGTGAGAAGCCTGCTCAGGCTGTCATGACCTGAACCCAGAGCTTGATTCTGTTGTTCGTGTCAACACAAAATACATCACAGGCGAGACTCCTGCCACCACCATGGCTGTGGTTTGAATGTGTCCCCGAGTTCAAGTTAACCCTCAAATCCATATGGTGATGGTATTTGGCGGGGAGACACTGGTGAAGATACTGGAGTCAGATGAGGTTGTAGGGCGGGGCCCTCATGATGGCATGGAGGAGGGAGAGGGGAGGAGAGGGGGAGGGGAGGGGGAGGGGAGTAGGGGGAGGGGGATGAGAGGGGGAGGGGAGGGGGAGGGTGAGGGTAGCCAGCCTCAGCAGTTTGTTATAGCAACAGCAAACAGACTAAGAAACTCCCAAATCTTCGTGGGTAGTATGTGACGGATAAACCACTAAGATGAACGCTAATAAGGGAACTGATTGGGCTCCTAAATCCCATGTGAATGAACACAGCCACCCTCACTCTGTGGAGAACACCAAAGCTGGCTCCCTGCCCCCACCTGAAAGGGTGGACAGTGTGGATACTCAGGACAGTGGAGTGACACGTGTCCAGAAACAAGACAGAGCAGGAAGGCATGAGATTGTATCATTTTCAGAGCAGCGCACAAAACAAGACTTGCTTCTTTCTGGCATTTTCCACTCTTCAGCCTGTGATTTGCCACTGGTGAAGCTGAGGGAAGGCAGGGTGGACACTGCAAGCAGAGATCACGGGAGAATGGTTTGCTACGGGGATGGGAATAAGAGGTTCTGACCCCAATCCAAGTCTGCTGCTCAGAATACATGAGGTACATCCAGGTGTCAGAGTTACTAGCCACAGTGCCAGCCTGCCAGTTATAAGGGTGGTGCCACTTATTTGCAATGGGTGACCAAAACAGATGGTGAATGTTTAAATTTCAAAAGTGTGTTATAGTAGAAGGCACGTTGCCATTCATCCCCAATACCCGCCCCCATTGGAACACACTTATCCCACTGTTCTTGCTGCTTTCTGCAGCAGCTCTGGACGTCCTCTTTCGTGAGTGTCTTTATGAGGTGTGATAACAATGCAGCGAGTACTGATGCTTGGTGCCACCCAACAGAAAGGCCGGCTGGTGAAAGCATCCACCTTATCCATCGGATCTGGCATCGTGTGACTTCCAGCTCTTCCCCAAAGCCCACGTGGCCATGAAAGGAAAATGTTTTTTTGTTTGTTTGTTTGTTTTGTTTTTCTTCCGGTACCGGGAATCGAACTCACGACCTTGCACTTGCCAGACAGGCGCTGTGCCGCTGAGCTAAATCCCCAGCCCAAGGTAAATGTTTTGAAGTGATTCGTGGCATCAAGAAAGCCTTCACAATGCAACCAAAGACAGACACTCCACAAAGGGCCAAGGAGTAAACGAGTGGGGCTCTGAACCCCGGAGGAGCATCACGGCACACAGGCAGCCTCCGAGCAGACACACACACACGAGTGTGGCTGTGCTCCCAACAAATCTTTACTTACGAACACTAAAATTTGAATTTCATGACACTGTCGTGTGTCATGTAATATTATCCCTTTTTGATGTGTTTCAGCCGTTTAAGAATGTAAAAGTGCTCTTTGTGCACTGTCCAAAATGAGGCCTCGGGTGGAATCGGCCCAGGGGCCTCGCTTTCTCTCTCCCGAGTTGGCTGGTGACCTCTGCCCTCTGTGGGGAGAGTTCTGCCCAAGGAAAGCAGCCCGGGCAGCCGCGAGAACGGAGGCCTCCCCTGCACCGTGCGGACAGCCAGCCCCTCTGGTTTGCTAAGAGCAATGGAGGGTGGGGGTGTAAGCTGGGGACAGAGGGCCATGCTCAGGATGGTGGCAAGGACAGGGACAGTGAGTCACAGCGGGGGTGGGCTGCAGGGCACAGCGTCCTGCTCGGGTGCAGGCTCGCATCAAGCTTGCTGTGCAGTGAAAAATAGGAAGTCCAAGGAGGAGCAGTCATTTTTCCGCCTCTGGATGTGGCAGCGATGCCTAAGCCATGGCAGCTCTTCTGTGACCATGAGGCTCCCTTGCAGTTGGAAGAAAGGGGTTTTTGAAGAGATTACGGAGAGTTGCCAAAAACTGCTGTCCAGAACCCGGACTTCTCACTCAAGATAATAGATGTTCTCATGGTTTAAGCCATTCAGAGTTGGGTTTTGTTACTTGTAGTCTAAGCACTATCTTGATAAACCACTCACACTACTGCTTGGGCAGCCAGTGAGGCTGTGTAGATAAACCACCAGTGCAGTGCCTCGGGCACAGGTGCTTAGAAACGTGGCCCTCTGGACTTGGGGTCTGTACGGTCAGGGTCAAGCAGAGAAGCAGGGCCATTGGAGGAAATCCACCAGAGCCACGTGTCCGGGGAGTTTCTACAAGGGTAACGCCCCAGATACAAGGGTAGGCTGGGGTACCGGCTAAGCACATCTGATATCCACCCAGGGAGGCTCACAGGCAGCCTGGAGCTCGGGTGACAGAAGCCACATGCACAGCAGAACTTCTCTCCCAGGCCTGAGCCTGGCCCTGGAGGCCCACCCCGGTCACTCCTTACCCCAAATCCACGGATTACGGCCTTCAGTGCGCCCGCAGAATCCCTTCACGGCCACTGGAGATGTGTGCGTGACCAGACAACCCAAGACGGTAACCCGGAGACACTTCACTGGGTCACACCAAAGCCAGGTGACACAGTAAGAGACCACGGGATCCCGGGCTTGGCTTTATCCAGCACAGATGGAAAATCTCATTGTTCCTCTCTCCGCCCCGAGCCCCCTGAGCCACTGGACCTCAGCAAGCTTCAGGAAGCCACGGCTCTGCCGGGACCCCAGGTCACAGCCAAGGCCCTCGGAGACGGGGTGGGCAGCAGGCCACGGGCCCTCCGTGGGGCCCGCCTGGGAGGTCCTGGAGGTCTGCACGCAGCGGCTTCCTTTCCCGCGTGGCGTTTCCGGAGCAGAGAAGCCTCGCAGGAAGTGGAGACCAGCAGAGCAAACAACGGAACAACAGCGGGAGGAAGAGCCGAAAATAAATCAGGCAGACAGGCCAGGGGACGGGCTGGGGCCATCTGCACCCTGGGCTCTTGGGGACAGCATGTGGGTGGCGGGGCCTCTGCAGCCGTGGGGTCTGGCGGAGAAATGAGGGCCGCGCTGGGGCAGAGGGCTTGGGCTTGGAGGGTGGGGGTCTGGGACGCGGTGCGTGGGGTGGAGGGCCGGGGCCGGATGATTCCGGCACAACAGTCAGGAAGAAGCCAAGAGACGGCTGTGGGCAGGGAAGCTCCAGGTCCCATCTAGGGGCGAGGGACCGCCTGACCCCATGTGACCACCTGGGGCGGCACGGGGGCCCCGGGGTGGTGGGGGCAGCCAGGCAGGGGCAGGCGCATCTGAGACGTGTGGGACAGGCCTCTGCAGGCGGGTGGCACCCAGAGCTCTCTGCCTGGCCCCTCCCATCCACACCCGGCTCAGAGTCCAGCCCGCTCATCCCTCGGCAGACACCCGGAGCCCCGCGTAGGCCCCCCAAGTTCACACACAGCCCCGCGTGATGCCTGCCGTACACAATCCTGCCCCCAACTGTCACGGGCGCCACCTCGTCCCTCCGGTCTCAACGCCAGTGTCACCGCCCGGAGAAGCCTCTTCAGTGGGCTGAGCTGTAACCCCCAAACCCATGCGTTCAAGTGCAGACCCCCGGCTCCCCAAACGTGCCCCGTCGGGAGACAGGGCCTGCACAGACGTGAGTGAGGTACAGCCCGCCTTCAGGGTGGCCTCCACTCCAGTGTGACTGGGTCGGGCAGAAAGGGGAAATTTGGGCACAGAGAGACAGAGACGGAAGATGCGAAGACGGCCGTCTGCAAGCCAAGGAGCGAGCTACTGGCACCTTCATCGGGGGCCCCCTCCAAGACCTTAGGACCGTCACTGTGTGTCAGTTAAGTCGCCCATGGGTGCTACTTGTCACAGCATCCCGTGCTGACGTCACGGCCGGAGCCGCCCCTCCACCCCGCATCCCCTGTTCCCCGATTTATACTTATGTGGGTTACTGCCCCCTACAGGGGTGTGAGCCTGTGAAGACAGGGACTTTGTGTCCCTCGCCAGCACCTCCCCATGCCCTGTACAGCACAGGACAAGATTTAGTCCAACAGAGAAAAAATGGCTCTCCCTGAGAGAAGACTGCAGGGACAACGTGAAGAATCTCCATCCCTCCTCTACTTGGTCCCTGAGACACGTGCAGGGCCTGTGGTGTGCACGTGCCCCAGGCCTAATCAGTCAGAGGGGCAGGGATTGGTCCTGAGAACTCATACAACCTTGGCCTGGCCAATCAGCATATCCCATGTCCCAACTATCAGTGATTGGTTCAGGGATGGGCATCGATGGCCCAGGCCAGAAAAATCAGAGTTAATATTTTGTAGGAACCCCTGGGAAAGAGAAGTTCTTTCATTGGGGGTGGTTTAGAGAACAGGATCTAATCCTGGTGGGGATGGTACCTTATGGGAAGAATGTCTGAATGCCTAAACTCAGAGCCAACTAGAGAAAAACAGAGATAAGATGGAAGGAAGATTCCAGGCATCACGACTTGGGCTCCTGGATCCAGCCATGCCTGAAGCTATATACTCTTCGACATTTTTTTGTTGATGAACAAATGTATCTCCCCTTTTTCCCCCATGGGGATATTTGAGTTGTTTTCATTACTAGCAACTAAACGTTCCAATGTGGAACTCTTTTCACAATTTCATCTACACGAGATCACCCTGACTGTCCATATCCCAGAACGTGCCAGCGGAACTGGAGATCATGGGACCCACTGCCTGTGCGCTTGGACGCCTGGGTCTACAGAAGTCGTCCATGCTGCCACAGGCACCTCCAGAGCTACAAGACGTGGCAGACCTCCACAGGAGCTGGCTCCTCCTCCAGCGTCCCCTTGTGGGCAAACAGCATATCTATACTGAGGAGAGGTTTCCTCTGTGGATAGGGCCACCCTCGCTGACAGACACCATCAAGATGTGCCCCACACCCTGACCTTCTGGACATAAAAAAACTCCCGACGTTCAGCTCCATGCCCTAAACACTTTCTCATCTTCCTTTTGCCTTGCAGTCTGCTACAGCACCTACCTTCCTTTGAGGTTGTCCTGCCTCCCTGCCACCCACCCCTCCACCTACTTCAGGATGGGTGTGTGCCCAGGCCACCTGGAGTATCACAGGTGAGCAATGGTTCATGAGAGGGTATTTACTGAGCATTGACTATGTGCCAGGCATAACTCTTAATTCTTTTCTATATTATCTCACTTAATTTTTACCTTATGAGGTAGACACTAAAATTATCCCCATTCTCTAGATGAGGAAACTGAGGCACAAAGCGGTTGAGTTGGAGCTTCCCAAGAACTGTCAAGGCACCAAACAGAAGGTATGGCATATAGAAGGGGACCGGGCAGGTCATGGCCACAGGACACTGGCCCTGTCTAGCTGCCCCCAACTGACAAGTCTGAAGCTTCTTTTCAGCTCACTGTGGGAAGCCGCAGAAAGAACCTTTATGCTCACAGGAACCCAGTTCTGCAGTCTGAGAGAACTCCTACTCATCCTTCAAAACCCAGCTCAGATAATAGCACGCCCCAAGAGATGTTCTGATCTACACTAACATTACTCAGGCCATCTCTGTGCTGGAGCCTCACCACATTCAGCTGGAGCTGTACATTGGCTTGCTGGGCCATCCCTGTGGCCAGCAGGCTCTGTATGAGCTGGACTTTGAATATTTTGTTGTTGGTGGTGGTTTTTTTGAGACAGAGTCTTGCTGTTCAGGCTGGCCTCAAATTTGTGGCAATCCTCCTTCCTCAGCCTCCTGAGTGCCGCAATTACAGGCACGCGCCACCACACCCAGCTCTTGGACTCTGAATATTAACACGGTCGCAACCATTACTGTCCATAGGGTCCGCTCTATCTGGAGGCTGCTGAGAGAAGGAAAATAATAATTTCCAGTCCTCAGCCTCTTCCCAACGCCAACCACTATTCTGGGTACTTTACATACTTCACCCCTGCGAGTCTGCAAATCTCCTAGGAAGGGGATGTGAGTATTCTGCAGAGCAGGAAACTGAGGCTCGGGGAGGTGAGAACAACTTTGAACGGGCCGCACGCCCAGAGCTCCCTCAGCTCACTGGCGCTCTGTGAGCCTGAGCTGTGTTCCTGCAAGGGGCCTCTGTCCCCACCCGCGGCCACCCACACACCACCTCCCAGGATAACGGACCAGAGCCGCCCCAGATGGCCCCTGCTGGGCCGGCTCCTCCCTCCGGCCCGCCCCTGACCCGCAGGTCCTGCAGGGCTGCTGGAAGGGGCAGAAGAAAGGGCTGGCCCTCGGACGGCCTCCTCTTTGTGTCCCCTCCACGGTGGCCAGAGGATAGAGCTGCTCTCCCTGTTCCCTCCTGGCGTTTCATTCTCGGAGACAACAAAGCCCCGGAGGCCGGCCGCCCCTCCTCCGCCGAAGCCGGGCCACCTGTCCCCGCCGTCTTGCACAAGCTTTGCGCTCCAGGCGGCCCGCTGCCCACCGGTGCGGGTGTCCTGAGGCTCCCGCCAAGGCCCAGCTGCTCCTCTGCCCACAGGTGGCCAAGACATTCAAGGCAGGGAGAAGTCCCAGGCCAGGGCGACCTCTCCCGGGAGTGGTGCTGCCACTGACGCAGCCCCAGGCTCGGGCCAAGCGGGGGCCGCCTTGTGCTGAGGTCCTGGGCGCCGGTGCCCTTGTCTGAGACCGTCGGAGGGCAGCGCCCATTGCTCGCTTGTCCCTTCACTGACCGCCCGCACGGACTCATTGTGTGGCCTGGCCTGGCCGGGGAGGTGGCCAAAGGACAGCCCGACCTTCGTGCTTCCCAGGGACCCCTGCAAGGGACGGGGGCAGAAAGACAGCTGTTTCGCCGCCACCGCCACCACCCCCAGCAAGCAAAGCTGTGCCAGAGCAGCCCGGCTGGCGGGACAGCATGGCCCTGAAGCAGTTGCAGCCCGGAAATCTGACTTCAGGACAAGCCTGTCCCGGGTCTAACCAGGTTTCATCCATAGGCCTTCATAATCCAGGGTCTTGTTTGATTTTTGAGACAGGGTCTTCTATGTAGTCGAGGCTGGCCTTGAACTTGCGATCCTCCTGCCTCAGCCTTCCGAATGCTGGGGCCACAGCCGTGTAACACCATGACCTGCTCTTACCCAGGGTCTTGCTTGCCATGAGCTCCACAGGGCAGGTACTGGCTGTCCGTCTGCAGATGGCTTCCCTTTTGGTTCTCTCGGGAGGGTCTCAGTGACAGTGTAGCGGTTTGGTGCTGTCCCGCTTAGCGGGCTGTGACTGAGGTGTCATCCATCAGCACATCACACTACCCGGGGCCCCACGATGGGTTCAAGGCTGGATGTGCTGGCCCAGTGAGACTCAGTTCCAGGACTTAGGTGGGGTACCTTAGACAACAGACGATGTTCCCGCTGGTCTCAGAACTTTGGAAATGTTTGCTTGCACCCCAAGAAGGACTGGGGGAGAGAGCTTGCCTGAGAGCAAAGCAGAGATCAGCACATCCTGTGGCACTGAGAACCTAGATCAAGCTGTACCTGAAGCTGGACATACCTAGACTTTCCAGCTTTAAGGACCAACTTCTTTTCACCCAAGTCATTTTGACTTAAGCTTTCTGGCCCTCATCTAAAAGACCTGGCTAATGATAGGAAGAAAACGGAGGAAAAGGAGGTGGAGAGTGGTTGGGTCTGAGCTGGGAGAAGTATCGGTGAATCAACTTGGTTTGGCAGGAGTTTAGTAATGGAGAGGTCAGACACTGCGTATGAGGCTGTTTGTATTACTGCAGCGTATCCCCTTCTTGCGCCATCAATATAGTCTACTGGGGACAAAAATGTGCTGTGCAGTGGACTGTTTTGTGGGACATGAGGAAGGAGCCGCATTCCCGACCCGGATGATGTGGTGTGAGATGGAGCACAGCTGTGAAAGCTGGACACAGGCTGACGCGGCCACCGTGGGACAGGTCACCTGCACGAGGGAGCCGCGTCTCAGCTGTCGGGGGCTGGGCCAGGTCAGCCCGGGGCCAAAGGCTCCCTTGGACCCACGGAAACCTCTGTGTGGCCTGGGACTCCTGCACTCTGAAGGCAGCCGTGGCCTCCACGCGGCCCCTCTGCACATTTATGTCCTAACACGCTTGTTTGTGACCATCCAAGGGCAGCGGGCCTGTCTATGCCATTTCTGTGTCCCAGGCACAGGGCTTGCTGCATAAAAACTACGTTAAGACATTACTGAAGGAATAAAGCAGTATTTGCAATCGCTACCCATTGCAAAGTGTGGACGGAGGCGCTACCGGAAGCTCCTCCTCCAGCCACAAACACACAGACGCTGGAGGCAGCAGAACCACGTAAAAGAGCACACAGTCAAGGTCAAACACAAGAAGAGAAGGCATCACACTCCCATGGGAACGGAGCGGCTGAAATCCCCCATGGAGACCGGGCACAGGGAGTCCGGGGACCCCGGCTCTGCGGGGTGCTCTGCTATTGATGGCCCCACAGTCAAAGATGACAACTCACCGTCACGGCAGAGACAGCAGGCATGAAGCCTGTCAGGAAACTCAGGGATTACAGCAAGCTCAAAGAGACGGTAAGATAACTAAGGTCCCTCCGGACGTGCAGGGGACAGCCCTCTTGCAGGAAACGCCCAGCTTCCCTGTATAAAATGCCAGCGTCTGCTAGAACTGAGCCGTCTAGGGTATGTGTCTTACCCAACCCAGCAGCAGCGCTCGGTAACGAGCAGCTGCTCTGTGTCATCCAGGGAATAACGACGAGAAGAAAGTCCGACTTCCGCGTTTTTATATATTTCCAGTCCGTGGTTGGTAGAATGCATGCACGTGGAACCCATGGACTAGGAGGACGCGCTGGTATGTTTAAAAGTCAAAGAAATAATGGGTGAGACAGGACCCCTAACACAAGGGCTAAGCAAGCTGAAAAAGAACTAAGTAGGAGTGTAGAAATGGAAATACCGAGTGGCCCTGGGGTGTCGCTGCAGGGGACTCAGAGTCGGGGAGTCTGCGCCCCAATTCAGTGGCGTGTGGAGTTTGCGGCTTTAGCGCAGCCACGCCGCCCTGGACTCCGCTTCCGTGGCTGAAAAGCGCCCACATGATGCCGGCCGTGCGGCCCCAGAGCAGGACGCTGGGAAAGTATGAGTCGGGTCACCACAAATGGTTTCCATCCGTCCCTGCCCGGCACAGTTCGGTCGTCCCACATCTGCAGAACACCTGGAAGCAGCATGCCGTCACGCAGGGGGTGCTGCGGGGCTCTGATACGCAGACGGAGGGAGGACCGGCTCCACACACGGGGACGCCTGAGTGCCTGGGTCCTGAAGTACAGCTCCCATGCCTCCCCCGCCTGTGCCACGTCCTGCTGATGTGCGGGGCGGGGAGAATCCCCGGCCAGACCCACCCAGGGCACGCAGCGCGGGCAGCCGCGGGTCCTGCCCTCGTGTCTCTCCCACGGTGCCCTCCTGGCAAGAAGCGTCCTGTCCCGCCTAGGTGTCCTCATCCGTGACATGCAGGTGGTGACACTTCTCTCAGACATCCTGCTGAGGACACGACTGGCGCTCAACAGATGCCGCAGCTATTCTGTCTCCCCGCTCTTCCTTTCTTCAGAGAGTGACAGCTTTCAGCAAGGTAGTCCAAAGCCACAGGAAGCTGGGCAGAGAAACAAGGGCCAGGCCCACCCGCACGCCCGCTGGGTGGCTTCCATAGGTGTCCCTCACTGCCTGGTCTGCAGTTTCCTCGTGTGCTAGGCGTCTCCCCGGGGTCTCTGCAATAGCCACGTCCTCCTCTTCCTTAATACAGAGCTCTGATTTCATTTGGTGCTGCCCACTGTGACCAGGCTCTCGTGCAGGTGGGGGAAGTCCTGGGACTCAGCTCTGGCCAGTGACACAGAGATCTAAGTTCTGTTGGGGACTGCAAAGGGAAAGCCTCCCTAGGAGAAAATTCTTCCCCATTCCTAGCTGTCCATCTTCCATGTGCCTGGATAGCAGAGAACAAGGCCCGGAGCTGCTGCAGCCATCTTGTAACCATGAGTCAACAACAACAACAACAAAGTCCACTTTTTCTATCATGAGCCCCCCTGCCCCATATTCTCTTACATTCATGCAGTAAAGGACTAATTGTGATTTTAAGGCAAAAGAAAGAAGAGACCGTTTATTTCTCCTTTTGGAGAAAGTTCCAAGGCTGGATGTGGGCCTCAAGCCAACCAGCCTTGCTCTTCAGCCAATCAGCTAAGCAAACAGGAAGTGACTATCCAAACATTTGGAGCGGCAGGAGGCTGGCCCAGTCAGCCTCTGCGGAGGTCCCCTGCCAGCCTGTGACTTCTGTCCCCAGCTGGGAGCGCCTCTGAAGTCCAGGATGGGGTCCCTCCTCAGGAAGCCGCCCCTTCTCATCGCCCCACCTCTAGTCTGGCCCAGACCACCTTCCACTCAGAGCTGGGGAGACCACCGCCCTCTTCCCCTCCCCCTGCCTCGGTCACAGCTGCAGGCGGGGCAATTCCTTATTGAAATGCAAGTCGCTGCCATCACCCTTTGCTTAAAACTTTCTTCTTTTTTTTTGCGGGGGGGAGGGGGGGGTTTCTCCGGTACCGGGAACCGAACTCACGACCTTGCGCTTGCCAGGCAGGCGCTGTGCCACTGAGCTAAATACCCAGCCCCTTACTTAAAACTTTCCCAAGGCTTCCTGTTCTTCCAGGGAAGACCGAAGTCCTTGGGGCCACCCTCCGCACTCAACAGCCTGGCCTGTTCTGCCCCCTCAGCCTGACTCCTCCAGCCTTTCCAGTTCTGGACTCTGCCCACGTGGTTCCCATTTCCTGGGATGCCGTCCTTTTCCCATCCCGCCAGGTAGCTCGCTCTCTCAGCTCTCAGCTCGGCCCTGCTTCCCTGGCAGGCTGAGCCCCGTGCAGCCAGCACCCTGAGCTCCTCGCAGCCCAGCGCTCGTCCAGCCCCCGCCGTGCCTCTGCCCCGGGTCGCCGGCCCGGGGAGGGTGCTGGGGAAGAGCGGGCTGCTGTGACTGGCAGGGAGCTCCGCAGCTCCCAGTCCGCAGCCCTGCCAGGATTTGAACCGCCATCCCCAGTCTACCTTCCCGCCCTGGCTGAGCTAGCACCAGGCGTCTTATAAACCTGTTTCCTCATCTTAAGAGTCGGGCCGGCAGTACAGATCAGGAGCGCTAAGGACGAAGTAACAGAAGCCACATAACACGCTGAGCTCAGTGTGGCACGGCACACAGCACTCAGACGCTTTGCTACCCGCAGGATCAAATGGAGGCGCGCACATGGATGGACAGAGGACTTTGTGGGTGAACAGGGGATGGATGGAGCGGGGGAGGGAGGGACAGATGGAGAGCAGGAAGGGGAGTCTCAAATGATTTAAGAAATGAAGAACGAGCCAGCGTGGTAGCACACGACTGTAATCCCAACACTTGGGAGGCTGAAGCAGGAAGATCACCACAAAGTTGAGTAACTTAGTGAGTTCAAGACTAGCCTAAACTACATAGCGAGACTGAGTGTCAAAAAAAAAGAAAAAGAAATGGAAGAAAGCAAGGAATACGCAAGCACAGAGTGAGGACACAAGGACACGCGGGCAGGGGGCTGCACCCCCTGGGCTTGGGAGATGCGAGCTGACGCGTGCATCCCCGCAGGGACCAGGCTCACCTGTAGCGCCGCAGCTCTGCCTCCAGCCTCGTCCCCCAACGTTGCAGGCCCGGCACCTGCTGTGCCAGGGCCTCCAGCTCACGCACGCGGCGCAGGCTGCGCAGCACCGCCCGCCTGGCCTCCTCCGCGCGCCGCCGCACCTCAGCCTGGCAGCGCC